TCATGTTCATGTTATTACCGGCTTGAGGTTGAGGTTATGTATATACTGATATCATGATGTTGTTATTATTTTCAATGTTTACATTAGCATGAGTTTCCACGGAGCACAGTGACATAGTGCTCATTTCCCACTGTTATCATGTTTTTCAGGTCAGGATGTCGGGCAGGGAGCGTGAGCAGACGAAGGCTTCAGGACTTTCACGTTTTGATTGTATATATGTTATGATGATTTACGTTTCCGCTGATAATGATTTTTGACGAACTTATATTTTGACGAACTTTTGGAAAACCTTATGTTTTCAGTAACCGGATGATTTTATTAAAAATTTTAAGTAACGATTTTCCAAATTAAGTCACGATTTTAAGGTAGCACCCCGAATCAGTTTTCGCAAAGTAAAAGAATTTATTTTTTTAAATAACTTTGCGAACTTTTCGCGCTCTGATTTTAACGATAAGGAGGGGTGTTACAAAGTCACTTGAATTTTTATTAAATTATTATTAAAAAAATCTAAAATATTATTAAATATTGTCTCACATTGATTTATGATGTTTGATATTTTAAATGATAAAATTTATATTAGTACGCGATGTTGGAATCTGGTATCTCTTTAACTTAGAGAGTTTAAATATTTATGGATCAAAATTTTTCCATTATATTCATGAAAATTGATCTTTTTAATTCATAGTTAAAATTCTTCTTTTAATATTTTTAATGGTACAATTTATGTATATTTATTGGGACTTTTTACATTGTTTAGGACTTTGCGTTTACCAAAAAAAAAAAAAAATTAAAAATAAGATAATATAAAATTGGTACATATACAACTAAAAAAATAAAAAATAAAGTAAAATTGATATATATAAAACTATTCATTAACTTTGTTCTAGGATTAGATTTTATATTCAAATAAATCATGATTAATTTAATATTCAAAATTAAATATCATTAAACTAAAATTGGCATATATAAAAATATTCATTACTTTTGTTATATGAGTATACTAGTTCAGTGCGATACACGGGCAAATAATACTAAATAATAATTATAAATTAAAGATGAAGGTAAACAATATTAACTGATAGTTGTAAATTAAAGATATGAGTAAGTATTATAAAATAATGACTAAAAATTAAAAATATGGGGTTAACATGTGATACCCCATACTATAGTCGTCAAATAGTCAATGAGCAGAAAGAGGTTTAGGAAGAAAAGGCTCGGAGAATTGGAATAGAGATTGAATTTGCAGCTTTGAGGATCTTTTTCTCCTCAGGAAAAGAAAGGAGTGACCTGGGATTCATGCAAAGGAACTAAGTTCGGGCGAAAAGACTATTGAAACTCTAATTTACAGTATATTTGTTTATTATAAATAATATAAAATCATCTTGTATAAAAGAGCATAAAAAATATATGTTTAAAAATCAAACCTAATCGTGTATGTTTCAAAATCAGACATACATTAAAAAATGTATGTTTAAAAATCATTAATTAAGTTGAAGAATCTGAAATATAAAAATTATTTTTCAAAATTAACATTCTTTATTTGATAAATACAAATTTTTAGTTGTGTCCATAAAATATGAGATTTGTAGTTATCTAAATATGGATACAAAAATATTTAACAATTAAGTTGGCACAACTTTTTGGAAAGATTTCAAAAAAGTTTTAAGCTATCTATTTCGTAAATGATTGACCGAATTTCTATAACACAATTCACACGTTTCACTGGAAAATTTTAAGGAAATGATTGACTAGATATTTTAGAAGCAAAATATTCACGATTCTTACTAAAAAATCTAATGTATTCATAATTTGAATTTCAAATTCAAATTTAGGCGTCCATTTTCAAATTTTCCAAAAACAATAACAATAATAGTATACATAATTATTAATATTTAACATCTTATTATTACAAGAAAAGAAATACAAAATATAAAAAATTATATGTTAAAGAGACATTAATTCAAACATTTTTTTTTTTCAATTTTAAAATTTCTGATAATTTAATTCAGATTGCCCATTTAACATTTCTAATCATGACAAATGATGAACATCCACAACAATGCTTTATGTCCACATGTCATCTAGGAAATAAACCCAATGTTGAAATGATGTTTTTCCAAAAAGTGGCTCAATCTTTAAGCAGAGATGCCATATAACCTTAAGTCTAATGTAAATTAAGTAGAGACCCAATCACTTTACATCATAACTTGTATACCCTCAAGTCTAAGAGTAATGCTATATGTACATAATATTGTATATAATGGTGTACATAACACTCACATTTAGTGGGACCTACCAAAAATAAAAAATCAAGTGAATCCCACTCCATATGAGTATTATGTACACCTATATGTACATTTATTATGTACTTCTATCATTTTTCCAAGTGTCTAATAGACTCATGTAGAGACCTTTTAGCATTGAAACGATTTTGACTATTTTTACTTGGTTTTATCCATGTTATCCAAAATTTTTATCCAAGATTTGAGTTCATTTACGCGTCACACACAAGTAAAATTAATTCGAAACATTGTTGATGCTCTTGGCAGTTTGCTGCAATAAATTCAGTTGCCTCTGCTGCAACTTGTACTGTATTATTGTTCAATTTTGTTTATGGCATGGAAGACAAAAACTCTAATGGAGCACTATAGGGGGTAATCATTAAAAGTCAAGTGGCTGGGAATTTCATAAGTGGAGAAATAAGTGATGAAATGGCTTTCTATTCAGGTGTTGAATCATACATAATGCTGCATTATCAGACCTGAATTGGAGAGCTCTGTATATACTTACATAATGATAGACAAGTTTAGTTAGTATTGCAGAAGTATATCTCCTGTTACATAAATAAATAATGATGATTACTACTGTTGATAGACTTGTTTAAAATTTGTGTCTCTAAAGCAGCTGCAAAGTTGAAGTCTTGTTTTCGAGTCAGCCTCGATGCGAACGGATACGAACCGGCAGCCCTTTCTCTGGCGTGGGTATCGGGTCGCATATTATCCTCTCGTCAGGGATTAGTATATCCCATCTAAACCTTGGAATGAGATTGTGCAGAAATGTGAGAATCTCCAATCGAGCAAACTCTTTACCTAGGCACATTCGAGGTCCTCCTCCGAAAGGAACGAAAGAGTAAGGGATAGCACCGCAACCATCGAATCTCGTGGGATCAAATTTCTCCTCGTCTCGAAACAAGCTGGAATCTCTATGTGTTGTTGGCGCGTTCCAGTAGAACTGTTAGTCATCGCAAAAGACAATAGTTCAAAAAATTGTACCACCACAATCGTCAATCAACCATAACATAAACAATCACCTTCCATCCTTTTGGTATGGTATAACCTTCATAGTTTATGTCGACTATAGCTTCTCGAAAGCCACCTGTTATAGGCGGCCATAGTCTTGTAGTTTCGCACACCACATTCCACGTGTACTTCATCTTCTGAATATCCTCCCACTGCAGAAACTCTCCTGGCTCCTTTGATGCCGCAATTTCATTTTGCTCTGCTTTCAAACAAGCAAGAATCAACAATTTTTTTTTATATGGATGCATAAATTTTGACAACAGAAGTTTGTAATGAGTTGTAACAAACCTCTCAACACCTCTTCGTAGACCTGTGGATGTTGTGCCAGAACTTTAATGAGCATCGTTAACAAACAACTGGAAGTGTCGTGGCCAGCAAAGAGTAACATTAGTATGTTATTCACTATAACCGTTTCGGACATAAATATTCCATTCTCGTCGGGCGTGACGAGCAAATGAGACAAAAGGTCCTGCGAAGGTGAAGCGTTTTTTTGTTCCAAATCCTCACTCCTTTGCCGGGCTATTATTTTGAGCTCTTTTTTAATAGCAAACGCTGCCCTCTTGGCATAGTAGAATTTGGTCCCCGGGAAATCGAGAGGGATAGAAATCACTCCCCCAAGGAAAATTTGGAAGAGGGCTGCCAGCTTATCGATTGTTGATGGGTCTTGAATACTCATAAACAATCGACACGCGAGCTCGAACGTGTACTGTTTCATTGCCGGGAACACTTCCAACTCCTCTTTACCTTGAGAGGCAAGTAAAAGTAAATTATAAATGATGAAAGAAAGTATCTATAAAATTAAGTTTGAGTCGTGTGCGTACGAGTACGAATGAATACCTTGCCAGTGAGTGTCCAAATGTTGGCGAGACACGAGATCCATTGTCCTTATGTAGAGTTTTGAAAAGGCATCGGGGCTAACAAAGTAAGAAAGGGTCTTTCTCATGTGCACGCCTTGTGCACCGCCAGTGGTCGTTAAACATGTTCCGAGCAGCTTTCTCACAGAAGCCGGCCACCAGAGGGTGACCATCTTATTCTCATTGCTGAACAAAAACTTGTTACCGGCCGTCCCACTCAGCACAGCCATAGGCTCCCCCAGGAGTGAAGTCTTAAACACCCGACTATCGTACTTTTCTGTTCTCTCTTCGATGAATTTTTCTATTGATCCTTGTCTCAGGGCATCGAGAAACTCTACCGTCTCACCAATAAGCGGCCATCCGAAGCTGCCCGGAGGGAGGTTTCTTACACCCTTTTTGGTTTTGAACAAGATCATAGTCATCACAAACAATAAAGCTATGGACAAGAAAGCTGTGTTGATGTAAGAACACTCCATAATATTCATTTGATTTGTGCAGGAGGAACTAATACTGCCCTCAGGTTGGAGATTATTATATGGTTCTAATTAGGGAAAACAATAAATATCATCTGTGGGAACTATTACTTGCTTCATCACCTGAATCCATATGCTGATCCTTCATACTTTTATTTTACTTTTTTTTTTTTTTTTTTTAAATACCTATATGAATCTTAAAAGCTATAATTATTACCTATATATATGTGTCCTTTTTCAGTTGGTAAGAGCAACATTTTGGATCACACAATGGAGATGGGATATAGCCTAGTGGTCCAACTGGATTTGTCACCACAAAAACCTCTCAAAAGTTGAATCTTGACACTGCCCATTTGGTTATGCAATTGACACTGCCCACTTGGATGACAACATGGTTTACAACATAAGTGTAAATGCATGATTTTTTAATTTTTTGATAATGCATTCACACTTGGGTTGTAACCCAAGTTGTCAACCAAGTAGGCTAAATAGCATTACTCTTGTTTTTATGTTCTTTACCAAGTATGCATTATACATGAATTAAATACACATTATGTTTAAACTAAATGTGTAGTCAAAATATACAATTGACAAGAGTATCCTGGAGCCTTACCACAACTATTGTCTTTATAATAAACTGATTTTTGACATTAAATTGAACATCCCAAATAAGTCTTTAATATAGTTTGTTATTTAGTCAAACTCAGAAAACTACTTGAAGATCAAAGGGAGGTTCAATATTGTTTGTCCCATTTTTTTTTTTTTTTTTTTTTTTTTTTTTTTTTTTTTTTTTTTTTGCGTTTTTCGTTATCATTTTGTCATTGTTTTTCCTCCGTTTTATGTCGTTTCTTTGGTTTTAGTTGTTTTTGTAGTTTATTGCATGTTTTGTTTCATTTTAAGTGTCTCCGTGTTTTTCGTTCATTTTCCGGTTTTCTCCATTTTTTGTCTCGTTTTTGCTGTGCATATCAGAGCTTCGGGAGGAAAGGATTTCTTGAAAATAGTGGGTGGGCAAGTATAATTAACTAGAAGGGCTCGTTGGCGACAAGTAGGAAAAAGCAAAACTCAATTTCGAGTTCGGGCGAGCTCAAACGAGACCAAAACGCGAAGTTGCTCGAAGCACGTTTTTGGTGTGCAGGTCATAAGCTTTGGGAGAATATGATTTTAGGAAAATATTTGATGGGGAAGCATAATTGACTAGAGGGTTCGTTGGCGTCGCGTAGAAAAAAAAAACGATACTCAATTTCGAGTTCAGACGAGCTCAAATGAACCCGAAGCGCAAAGTCGCGCAGCCCAGACCCTAGCGGCGCTAAAGGTGGCATACTAGTGACGCTACGCAGGTTAGCGGGCAACAAAGACTTTCGACTTTTGTACCCTAGAGGTGCTAGCCCCCCTAGCGGTGCTAGGGCCTGCTGTGGGCAGATTTCATGTTTTTCGTTATTTTTCGTTTTTGCTCGGTTTTTGAGTACTATATATTGAACGAACGTCCAGACCTGTATTCCATTCCCTTAAACTCTTTTTTCCTCATTCTCCTACCCTAGAACTTGAATATTACATTTGAACTTCATCTTCATTTCTTCTATATTTTTTTGATTAAGCATGTACTTTTGATTTAACATTGGATTTTTTTTATCAATCGTAAGTTTTCTTTTTCATTTAATCCACATATATGATTTCTTCGATTGTTGAGAATGTTTGTGTTGGATTGAATATGAGTGGCTAAACCCAATTGCTAGGGATAGGGGATGGTGTTTTACTTTCGTTTGTGATTATTGTGTTCGTTGATTGTTCAATTTATATGTGTTATTCTTAAATAGGATTTTCGATGGTTATGCTTGAATGTTAAGAATTGTTGAAAGGTGGCACTTCAATTTCCAATTGATTTTCAATTGAAGTTGATTCAATCTCGCGTGATGTTGTTAATTATAAATGGACTAGTTGGTTAACCATCTTCAAGGATAATTTAATCGGCTCTTAGAATCGAAAGAGGAGGAGCCGATCGATCTAGGCTCGTATAAACTAGGCTTGTTCGTAACTGAATTGCCTAGGTGCTAAACAAATCGTTAATTTGTCGTTCACATTTGTTCTCTCGTTACGAAAAGTTACTGAGGATGAATCTCTAAACGAGTAGGTTATTTGAATCATTTAATTGAACAATCACTTGTCCGTTAACTGCAATTCGAACCGAAACAAATATTCTCTGACTCTCTAACTTCTTATCATTGCTTGATCATTGTCTTTGCTTTGAAATTTGATTTTCTTTGTTTGAGTTCTCTTAGGTAATAGTTTAAAAATCAAACCAATCTCTGAATTATTTTTAGGATTTGTTTTTCTTTTTGTGATTGAATACACGAGTAAAGTAATCCGGACGACCTTCCTCGAGAGATCGACCTGGAGAACGAATCTTTAATTCGATACTCGGTAAATAACATAATTTCTACAACAAATATCTTATGATTTTTACAGTTTTGCTATGGAGCTATCGGATGGTTTGACTTATGGAGTCATCCACACTTATTCACCAATAGTGTATTTGACACGTGTCCTACAATAAAATGAAGAATTAAATTTTTTAAATTTCGTTGAGTTGTCTTGAGGCTTAGGATGCGGGTCGGGAAATTTTCGGGGTTCGTTTGATTGGCGAATCGATTTTATGCGTATTTGACCGGTTAATGCGATTATTAGTTGAATGGGTTAGGAGTTGACTTTTGACTTTATATTTTGACCATAGATCGTGTATCTGATGAGAATGCTATGTTTTAAATTTCGTAAATTTTGGGATGCCGTTTGACTTAGATTAAAAATCGAGACGTTAGCCCCATTTCGCAATATTTTAGAAAATTAGCCGGATATGATTTTAGCTACAGTTGTTGATTATAAAATCCATATAAATCACATAAAAATTAGTGATTTAAATATCATCTTAAAATGAGTTAAAATTTTCGAGAATCGAAAACCCTAGTTTTACCCGATTCAAATAATTGGGTAAATTCTAGATCTGGATTTAATTGTCTGAACCCTAGTACCGGTTAAATAACTTTAGACGTTGTATCATTAATTCTTAACGCGTATCGTCGTTCTGCACATGTGTTCGAATCTTTTTCGATCGTTGGAGTCGAACCACCGAATGCGTGCCCGTGCACCGAGTCCGAGTCAAACCACCGAGTGTGTGCCGTGCATCGACTCCGTCCGACCTACCATCACCACAATATTTACGTAGCCGTGGTCCAAGCACGCCCCTGCGTCAGTGACCGTGGCCCCGTTTCAAACCCGTGCATCGACTAAGTTGTGTTAGTCGAGTTCGTGTCGGCCACGAGTTGCCAAGTCGAACCCGAACCACTATTAAACCGAGCTGCACATAGTTAAGTGAATGATCGACCGGCTTCGAGTGAGTCGTTGGTCCAATTTAGTCGAACCAATCCAGGCAGTCCGGATGGTTCACAGAGAAATTTAATTCAACCGAATCAGTCCGGGCTGTCCGGACGGTTTGGGAGTTTAGTTCGGAACACTGATTAGAGCGTGAACTAAGACTCTAGTTTTCCGAACCAATCATATAAATTTCAGAAAGATTAAAAATTCAGATAGATTTAAGATTTCAGTCATGTTAAATATCCAGGTATATTACAGATAAATTTCAGTTAGAATATAGTCCAGACTTAGGAATATTTCAGAGAACTATAGTATGCCTCAAAGACAATAAATTTTCAAAATCAGATCGTAAATTTCTAAAATGAGTATTAAAGCCGAGTGAGCGAACCTAAACAGATTATATAAAAAAAATTCAAGTTTTATTCTGAGGCCAGTACATAGAATACTTCGCTCAATATTTTGCAGCTTGTGGAGAGTCGAGCCTCCGACAGTTGCAAACCATTCAACACTTGCACTTCACCATATCAGGTGGTAACCTTGTACTGGGTACTACATTTTCTATAATCGCAATATCCTGGTTGTGGTATGTATGTAAGAGTTAGTTCGCCCAATTAGGGGCAATCACCTAGCGAGTAGGTCCTTTCTAGCTAAGTGAATCGAATGCTAGTTAAGAGGAGATAAGAATTCTAGTGCAACTTTGACTTAAGTTGAAATTTCTGATGAGGTTAGAACAATTCTTCCCTAAGGGGCTTTGACCTAGAGATAGGTTTCATCATAACCAAGTGTTTCGGACTTCAGTTAATATCAAGGACTCTAGTGCAGTTGTGAGTTAAGCTCCAACCTTAGAAGTGCATAAGAGTTAGTTTTGCCCTAGTATAGGCAACAACCTACATATCAGATCCTACAGTTGCTTATCGTAAGCGTAGAGGCCAAGCATCCTTCTTGTCAGTTAAGCAGTCAGTTGAGCAGCAGTTATAGATAGTCAGTTGATCAGCAGTTATAAACAGTAAATTGAGCAAAAATTATAGACAATTTACTTATTCAGACGCCTTTGTGATGTGTCCTATCATATTAGATGTATGCTTAGGTTATGATGTGTTTTAGCATTTTAGATGTATGCTTAGGTTGTGGTGTGTTTATCACATCAGAGGTATGTTTAGTTCGCAATGTTGCAGTTATAGTCAGTCGGCCAAACAACATTTTTAGTCAGTCAGTTGAACATCAGATATAAACAGTCAATTGAACAACATTTATAGACAGTCAGTTAAGTGACATTTATAGATGGTCAGTTGAGCAACATTTATAGACAGTCAGTTGAACAACAATTTTAGACAGTCAGTTGAACATCGGTTATAGTCAATCAGTCGAGCAGCATTTATAGTCAGTCAGTTAAGCAGCAGTTATAGATAGTTTGCTGATTTAAGTATTTATTGGATGAATGTTTAATCCGCGATATGTTATTAAAACGTTCATCATCGTATCGTTTCTACCAATCCAGTAAGTGCTTGCATAAATGTCGATGTCATGATATGTTATTATCTTAGTTGTATATTTCAGTGCCGGTTCCGGCGAAGCATCGTTGATTCATTCATGCTCACGCCCCCACTAACCATCAGGTGACGGTGTCGAGCGTGGAGCGTGAGTCGATGATGTGGTGGTGGTCATAGCAAGGATATTTTTGAGTAAACATGTCATTTATATTTGAACATGATTGAATTGTTATGCTTTGTTGGTGCATGCTTGCATTTGCTTCCGCACTCAGTATTTCAGTACTTCAGTATTTCAGTATTCAGAATTTCTGTCAATGCATTCTTAAATCTTGAGATGTTCATGACGTCTTATTAGAGTAATGAATTATACTAAGTTGCATGCCTAGTTATTTAAAAATATCAAAGACTTAAAATTTAAAAATTAAAATTGAGTAACATTCCACATATTAAAGTTAAAGTATTGTCGAAAAATTAACCAACACTACTTGTCTTATTTATATTTGAAAATCAATATATTAATTTTCATTTAGTAAAAGCAGCGTTTGTTAATCCAGAAAATCCTTGTTGGGAAACTCACCCACCATTGCCAGGTGTGCGACCCGGGTCGACCAACGGATTAGTCGGGGCAACGCTCCGGATACCGTGGCGGCTACCAAAAAAAAAAGGTTGACATAAATTTTGAGTAAATGGAAAATAAAGAATACGTCATACAGAGTGGAGATCTTGGCGTATAAAAATAAATAAATAAATAACATAGGTTAACGTTCTTCAAATCAGAACCAACTGAATGGCCCAGCAGAATAGGCAGCTTGCAATGGATGATGAGGAACGGGCTAAAGGAAATAAATAAATTTTCAAAAGTATTTACGTAAATATATGTATGGTGGCACATAATCAGTGTAAAAGAATCAGTGATGCTTGGTAACAATGTAGCCGAAAGTAACTTCAATATAAGCAAAGATTTGGCTGCAGTTGGTGTCGGATTTTCGTCACATGATATGGCAATTGACAAATATGAATGGCCGATCAATTGAGACGAATAACCGAGAGCCGGATCAATTGGTTGTCGCAGCGCTCTTAATCAGCTTTAGTGAATTCGAGTAGAATGTATAAGTCTCTATGCATCAGAGGATTACGCAAAGACACCGGCTGCTTTCATCTTCAGTGTCAGTATCCCCTGTTTCACTAAACCAAAGATTCTTCATCAGATTTTATTGAAAAAAATAATAATATTAATATCAGTGTTGGTTTCTCTCTGAGGGATTATCTGAATAAGTATGACTGCAACAGAACGGGAACCAACCGTAGTTTCAACTGCCAAAACTAGCTGATTTCGGCTTGTCAACAAACATGTGAAAACGAATAAAATGAATATTTATCTTTATCTCAACCGAAATATGCAAATGCCGCTGCCACATGATCCACAACCGGCATTTATCGCCTATAAAGTTCAATTACCGAGCACAATACCACCATATTCTCAGCCGTAAATCGCTCATTGTTCTACTTAGTGCGGAAATACAGTTTCTAGCACTCATCTCATAGTAGAAATACTTCCACACAATCTATGCTATTGGGTTGCTAAGAATATATATATTTACATCAACATCTAAATCTCAAAATCCACAATTCTTCCCTCCACCTTTGTTTTTTCTAGAGCTTGTACTGAAAAGAACATCTAAAACCATGTAAAACAAGCTTTGAATGTACCACAAACATTTCAGCTCAAGCAGCACCATTAACTCTCATCTGAATCTGAATATTTTGCCCAAGATTCATCCCTCCAACCTCCCATAACTAATCCCAACTCATTACAAGTAACTAAAAATTTCATTTTCTTAAGAAAAAGAAAGAAAAACAGAGAGAAACTAGAAACAAGGCAACAACAATTTAGGGCTGAAGCATTAGATCATGTAAAAAAAAAAAAAAAAA